AAAGGAACTCATGTCAGTGACCCTCAGAGGTGCTTTCAGGAACTTTAGAACCTGGAACTGCCACATCATTTAAAAAGCACTATATGAAGAAGAAATGTAAATAAGAAGTGAGTCAAGTTATAAATACCTGAACCTACTAACATAGGCAAGCAAAGTCAAACTTTTTTGGTCATATTTTATCTTAAGTCATAAGAGTGAACATATTTCAGAACCTTAGAAACTCTAGGTATTAATTTTGTGAGGCATTTACAGCTGCCCTGATTGGAAGAGTACATCTCTTGTCTCGTTGTATGGTCCAAGCAAATGAGATCAGTTATATATAAAAACAAACAAACAAACAAAAAATGAAGGAAGCAGTGATTTGGGGGATCAATATGTAAGTACTACATTTTATTCAAAACGATCTTCTGTCTAGGGGTAAGCATAGGGAGATCGCATGTCTTTCTGGTAAATTTCAAATTTTTCACCCTGGGGTTATATCCCTGTGAGAACCTGGTTGGATAATTTTTACAACTTGAGATCACAATGTTGTATGGACAAGGTCCCGGCATAATAGGATTAGAGTGGTTCAACTGACTCATTATTTGTGTGTGTTTTCCTAAATTATCTCATTTAAGATAGGCTCCAATTCTGTGAGGTAGATGTCATTATCTTCAATTTAAAGATAGAGAAATTGGATACTGATTATGTCATCTCATCCCTCTGGGCATCAGATCATTAAAAAGTGATATATTCAAGTTTATTGAGATTTTTAGTGTTCAGATGAATTGAACCCTAGTTGAAGTTCTTTCCCCCTTTTTGTAAGCAATGTTGTATTGGTTCCTCTCTCAATGAAGCAACATCTCATCATGACATATGGTCTGAAAATACAGACACAAAGCATTTTAGACATTCTGCTAAAGAAGATAAGGCAAGTTTTAAGAGACATCAAGGAGAAAGAGTACTTAGGGAGATAATCATTGGGCTTCATCAGGTCCCCTTTGGTAATATGACTGGAGTTCACAAGAGGATTTGGCAGGATCTGGTGTATGTTGAGAGAAGACTTTTCCACTGCTTATGTTTGCTTTCTGGCTTTCTTCCCTCTAAAAAAGGCCAAACATTTTAAAAAGCAAGCAATACGGCATGTAAAGCTAGGGTCCAGGCTTATTGAGCAGCCTTATTGCAGGCTGGGGGGGGGGGCGGGGGCAAGCAAGACATCAGGCTATGGACCGCTCAACAGTGGATCAGCAAAGCAATGGCAGAGGAGAGCTGTGAGCTGCTGAAGGATGAGAATACTTGGGAAGCTAATTCTAAACCTCTCTGGACATTATAAATACAGGAGCCACACTGGCAAAGTGTCAGGCTCTCTACTGACTCAATGATATGTAGCCCAGTCCATTTTGTGTTCCTAGAGAAATGTGTGGTGGAAAGAACTCCACCTCATTATAAAGTAGATACGGATTCTATCTTTAGCTCTATCCTCATTTGCTGTGCTACATTTGTGCAGTCCTCTCTAGGTTTCAGTTTATCCCTCTACAGAAGGAAAGTATTCTCCTAGTACTTTTCATACTAGTAATCTCTTAATAAGTTTGGAATTTGCAATGTGCTTTTCACATCTCTGAAAATCAAAACAAGCCAATAAGACATGTCATAAAGTATTTCTCTTTGACAAATAAACCTGTGGTCCAGAACGACTTGCTGAAAGCCAGAGATCTACCCTTTGGCTCAATATTCTTTCCAGGGCACCCTCAGGCACCATCTCACTCACAGTGTATTTTTGTATTGGGTAACTCAGTGAGGTAACTCTCAATATTGCAGCTGTTGCCCAGGAGGAAATGAGCAAATTTGGAAGCTGCTCTCACTTCTGTATATTAGCATGCCTTGTATCATGGTGACAGAAGCCAGGGGAGGTGACTTATCTAGTCTCACTCCTGAGTTATTCTAGTGGCAGATAACACAGTTATTTTCAAACTTAATGCACAAGAGAATCCTGGGACAATGTGCTTATAGTGCGTCTAGCCGGGCTCCAGCTTCAGAGTTCTTCTGTAGACTTAGTCATTAGCTGACAACTTAAGGACTGTAAGTCTAGAATCACCTTCGAGAAGACAGTTCTGATGCAGTGTCCTCACCACAAGTGACGCCCTGTACAGAAGTAGCTACAAAGCCAACTGCACTCTGCCAACTGCCTTCACTTCAGTCTGCTACTGGAAATCCAACAGCCTTGTGCTGGTGGTGGATGCAGAGGCTGTGTTCTTAGCCACAACTTACCCGAATGACCCAACTGACTCATACAGTTTTACTGCTTTACTTCACTTTCATCCTATTCAATTTGTAGAACAACTTCACCAACGTATACATAATATCAACATGACAGGAACTCAGACCCCATGGAGAAGCAAACATGAATGCTTTTTGGAATTTACATTGGCTTGGGATACGGGTATGAGACACTTCACATTATTTAGGAAACACAAACTATCAAAAAAGCCTTTAATGAAGAGTGGGCCCTTTATGTCTTGAAAAAAATCCCACTACTTCTTTTAGAGATACCTAAATGGCATTTTCAGCATTTGAGGATGTTACTTCTATAAATTTTTCATTTAAAAATATTTATCTATTTCTTCTCTGAGAGAGCGCAAGAGAAAGAGAGAGAGCGAGAGCCAGAAAAATAGGCACTTCCTAAAGGGTCTTTACACCTTAATCCACTCCCAGGCTCAGCCAGCCTGAATCATGGGCATGCACACATACATGCACATTAGATGTGCTCAAGAGAGGCCTGGGATGCAAACCCAGTACATTTCTTTTGTTGGTCTAGTTGTGTTACTATTATGACACTTCATAGTCCCTTATTTACATTTTTAAAAAAGCGAGTATAACTAAAAAATCATGTGTAATTTTTAACATCTTATTTATTTCTCCCATGAGTGAGAGAGATAAAGAGACAGATAACGGGTTAGAGACAGATAGACAACGCCCCCAACAGGGTCTCAACACTACAGTCCATCCAGGTTCACTCAGCCCAGGGCAATGGACACATCATGCCTAATGTATTCAGAGAGGTTTCCAGACATGAACCTGGAACTTTCCCATGTGGGGTCAGGTTTGCAAAAAACATGATGTTTTCACCACTGTATCACCATTAAGCCCCTAGAATCATATCTCATTTAAAATTAAATTTCTAAATTAAAAATAAAACTACTTTTGTTTAATTCTTTACCTTCTTGTTTTTATTTTTTATTGCCAAAGAGTGTATTTGCTACCCAGAGTTGCCAGAAAGACAGACAGACGGAGAGAGAGAGAACCTTCCAATGGGGCATGATCGTATTACGATCCCTTTTCCTGTTTCTCTCTCCAATTAGGACTTTGTGCATACGAGTACACATATTCAGTATGTTTTTTCTAGTTTCAAGTGCTGCAACTTGAACCTGTCAGCATGTGGGAACTGGCTCCCAATATACAGAGATTAACCACACTGCATCATGGGGCTGGCCTCCTTTATCTTCAGTTTGAGCTCAGAGAACATAATTCCAGAAAAGTCAGCTATTTTTCAAAATATGGGAACAAAGAATAATTAAAACTTTCTGTGTCTTGAGTTTCTGATACTCACAATTTATTACATATTTTAAACACTAAAGAAATTTTTTAAAAGTTGCATTGCAAGTTACAGCCCTCGTTCTGGGTACTTAGTTAATCGTTCCTTATTTACCAAGTGTGGAGAAGAGACACCTACCCAGCAAAGGGCCTAAGAATAAGACTTGCTGTTAATGTCAGGCATCAAACAGCAGGAAGAAAGGGGGGAAGGGGAACATGTGTCTTATTGGTTTCCTCTCTTCTTTTCAGTTCTGCTGCTTAAATCTTCAATCTTTGTTGAAGTCACAACTCTACACTCACTAGGAAATATTAAAATGAAAACCTTGTAGCTACCAAGTCTTCTGCTCAGAAGTCTAGGCCATACACATTTGGATGAGAAACTTGGGTGGTTCAAATGAAAGGTCCCCCGGGAGATATAAAAAAATAGAAATAGTAAGTTGGATTATTGTTCTCAATTCCTTTTTTCTTTCCTTTTTCTTTTCTTTTTTTAAATTTTTTTAATTTCTTAATTTTTTTTTTTTTGAGAGAGAGATTTTTACTTTGGGTCTATTGCACTCTCCAAAGAGACAGAGAAAGACAAAGAGACAGAAAGCAAAAAAATCACCACCTGGGGTATGGCCATGCCACAGTCCCCTCTCCTCCATTCTCCTCTCAGGATTTGGGGCACTCACAAACAACTGTTTGGCGTGAGTTTCAAACTGCTGGCTCCGGGACTCGAACTATGGCCCATCATGTGGGAATCCAGTGCCTTAACCACCACATCACCTGCTGGCCCCTGTTCTCAATTCTTTATATCTCCCGCTACATTGTGATTATTTATCTACACCTTTTGTTATTTAACTTATAGTGATTTGCAACAGAAAGATTCTAATTCCCTAGCCATTGATGTTGGAGTTGACTATGAGATTTTCCTTTTGTCCAGAGAATGTGGATAGAGTACCTATTTTGAGTTAATATCTTGGTAGAATAGGTCATTTCTTCTGGCCTCACATGGGATTCTGCACTTCATCATGCCCTCAGTAGCTGCTGGTCTCAGAAAGAGCAAGACTCCTGAAGCAGATTCAGACTACCTGAAGCCTAAAACCATACTAGCCAGCAGAACATGGCCAGACCACAGCCAGTGTGAAGACTGATGGACAAAAATGAAATATCTGTTATTACAAGTTTTTGGGGGGTTGTGTTTGCTTTTGCCATGTAGCATTACTATAGAATAGTTGACTGGTTCAAAAGGTAAAGAAAATTGCCCAAACAGAGAAAGTTCAGCCATGCAAGTAGCTTTGATGTACAAAAATACATTTATTTTCAACAATTTCAAAACCACTGTCTTTTTTTTTTACAGTAGAAATATTCAAATGGAACAATAAAACCAAGAACAGTATATGTACATATACTGTATATATAGATATGACTCATGCATTTGTATTCCAGTGTTTAGTACAAGTATTGCAATTGTCTGCCCCATTTAACCCTTGAAACCAAAAAGCAGGATCTGTAGAAATACTCCTAAAACTGATCTATGCTGTGGCCTGCCAAATTCTCTGTATCACATTCTCTCTGTGTTTCACAAAGAAGAATGCAAACAACATCCCACGAAAGTGAACCGGTGCAAAATGTGGCCTTTCCTCCCACATATATATACAGTATATCCTTTTTAGAGCAAGTGTGCTCAGGCTAAGCCTGAAAATAAAAACAATGCCTACCACATGACTATTGAAAAGAACTGAAATGTGTAAATATGTGAAGGGGCTGAGGTGCTGAGAAAATGAACCGGCTTTGAAAGCCACTCACCCCAGAGGCAAGAACTACCTTAAGGGAACTGAAGGCAGACATTGACTTTAAGGAAGTTGTGTACAGCTGACAAGCAAGTAGAACAGCTTTGCTAAGATGGTCTTAGACTTCGACTAACATCATTAAAGGCTAGACCTCTATCTGGCCTGCAGGATTTACATGAACTCATGCCATCTTTCTCCTAAGCTCTCTACTACCTCCTTGCCAAAAGGCACTCACTGGGCTTCACCTAGTGCTCAGGGGACTTCTCTGAGCTAAGAACAGCCTGAGATGCCATTGTAAGCATTATGCACTTCCATGGAATCCAATCAGAAAACAGAACAATCTTCAGTGTGCATCCATTCCTTGACTTCTTCACAACACACTGCTTTCTCAGGTTGATAAATAACCTCAAGTCTTTCCACCTAGAGGGGGAGCTTTGATTCCCCATTTGGGTCTCAGTTGAGGTCTCGAAGGGGCCTCATCTCCCAACTTCTTTCATGTCATTGTTGGAACACAAACGACGCCTGTATTCTCCGATGTCAATAGAGTCCTTCCTTTATCAATTGCCCCAAATATGCCCTCCCCGCCCCCTGTATATACATAAGTAGAAACCAGCTATGGCACAGACACAGGGATGCAAGAGTTAAGTGTGACAGACAACTGGAGCGCATCCAGAACCCAACACATCAAGCAGGCCTGGGGGGTTGGTCAGCTCTGAGGGTGAGTGCGTAAAGCCAACACGCGCATCTTTCTTTTTTCTGTTTTCTTTTTTACTAAACATTAAATTATTTCTTAGGAAATAAAAAGCTATTTACATTGAATTATATACAGTAAGCCATCTGTAGCCTCGCTATTGACATGCATGAGGCAGGGCCTCTTTCATAAAGGTGTGCACGCTTTCTGCAGCTACATCCACTCCCCACCAACCCACCTCCTGGGGATCTAACTGGGAAATGGTTTGTGTTGATGTGTGTGTGCTGGGTGGAAGGGCAGTGTTGGTGATTTTTGGTTGCAGGGGCAAGGATGAGAGGTTAACAAAAACCCATCCCGACTTAAATAAAAGAAAGAGAGACTGAAAACAGAGGGTCCTTATGCTACCAATGGCAGAATAAATCAAGGAGGCTATGGGAAGATGCATCCTTCACCCTTAGCACAAATACAGCCATTTTTTTCTTTCTGTTTCATTTGAACTATATAAGAATGCCATTTCTCCCAAAGCTAAGCTTCCGCCTGCTATTTATGAAGGGGCCCCTGGTAAAGAAAAGGTAAAAAAGACATTTTCATTTTTCCATAATAATAGGAATAGTAATCATCAAAAATAAAAAGTCAGAAAGGTGGTTGACCACGTGGCTTGTTGTTATTAAACACTAGTGCAGTTGGGGATCTCCTTTGTGCTTTCGCTGTTTGCAATGGTGGCAATGCCTCCTGCAGAGGAGAGAAGACACATGGAGAAAAGGATTTAAGTTCTGCAAGTACAGGGATCTTTGTTTGATTCACTGCTAAACACCGAGCCACCTAGAACAGGTGCTTAGTAGGTATGTGTTACATAGGGCACCTGGGTATCTTCATGTATGGGCTCACTGGCTTTTCTCATCCATGCTCAATGCATGCAATCCCCCATCCCAGCACACAGTAGGACCAGCCCCTTAACTGCCACCTTATACTTTATTGACAGCAACAGTGATGATCAATATGCACTGAGCACTTACTCTGTGGCAGGCACTGTGGTAATGATAACATCTTGTAATTATCATAATCTCAGAAGAGATTTATTAGCACTTCAAAGAAATAGAATAGAACCTTTGGTACTATTACTCCCATTTCACAAGTGAGGAATAGGAAGCCCGGAGAAGTCACTGAACTAGACAACTAGCAAAGCAAGAAAAGGGACCCAGCGCTATCTGATTTCAGATTCTGCCTTCATGTAATTACTAATAAGTACATACAATACTTTTGCTTTATAGAAAAAAATAAAATTTCCAGTAGTATTAATTGGCTTTATTCCTCTCCCACACTAACCCCAAGACTTCTGATTTTGATTGACATTTAATAGAAAAGATGTCTATCAATTTCATGTGGCCAGAGGTGCTAGACACATTTTCAAGAATGATTATGTCACCATAACCAGCTGTTTTTCCCTCCCTCACCCTCAGCCTTGTACTGTCTGAAGGACAGGTGAAGCAGCTGATTGATCCACTGTTTGGAGGACAGAGGATACAGTAGCTTGGTGGGACAGACACACATACCTATGACCCGGGTATCTAGCTCTTTGTCCAGAAGTTCTTCAGGCTCGGTGAAATCACTGAGTGTGATTTTGGGGGCATTTTCACTTTGGCTCACTGACCCAATCATCTCCTGTTCCTTGTCATGTTGGACCTGAGCATAGATGTTAATCCAGGGGATTTTCCTATGAAAGACAGGAACAAAATCAGATTAAAACCACAGTCAGGGCATGCCTAACTTGGATCACTGGAAATACTGAGCGATATGGGGAGGAAGGTGCTATTAACAGGGAGGGCCAATTTCAAGGAAAGGTACTGGTCACCCAGAGACACTGAGGCCATGAGTCCAAGGAACACAGTGCCAGCCAGACACCCGGATACCCAGGAAAGATAAACCACAGAACTCCTGGAGAAATGTAGCTTCTCGGGGGTGGGTAGGCATGGGAACACAGGTGTACACAAAAGGGTACTGCTGTTCATCAGTTATCTAGTAAAACCCTTATATTATTTACCTGTTACTAAGTTTTTAAAGGAACTGGACTTTGAAACTCACAAGGTTGTACATAATGAAAAGTCTTTTATTTCTCCTAAGTTTGCATCAATTTAATCAATTCATATTGGCTTCTTTTTTTTTCAAAGAATTATTTTAGTTAATCTATTTATTTATTTTAATTTGACCACAGAGGGACAGAATGAGAGAGTGAGATGGAGGGCTCACTGGCTTTTCTCATCCATGCTCAATGCATGCAATCCCCCATCCCAGCACACAGTAGGACCAGCCCCTTAACTGCCACCTTATACTTTATTGACAGCAACAGTGATGATCAATATGCACTGAGCACTTACTCTGTGGCAGGCACTGTGGTAATGATAACATCTTGTAATTATCATAATCTCAGAAGAGATTTATTAGCACTTCAAAGAAATAGAATAGAACCTTTGGTACTATTACTCCCATTTCACAAGTGAGGAATAGGAAGCCCGGAGAAGTCACTGAACTAGACAACTAGCAAAGCAAGAAAAGGGACCCAGCGCTATCTGATTTCAGATTCTGCCTTCATGTAATTACTAATAAGTACATACAATACTTTTGCTTTATAGAAAAAAATAAAATTTCCAGTAGTATTAATTGGCTTTATTCCTCTCCCACACTAACCCCAAGACTTCTGATTTTGATTGACATTTAATAGAAAAGATGTCTATCAATTTCATGTGGCCAGAGGTGCTAGACACATTTTCAAGAATGATTATGTCACCATAACCAGCTGTTTTTCCCTCCCTCACCCTCAGCCTTGTACTGTCTGAAGGACAGGTGAAGCAGCTGATTGATCCACTGTTTGGAGGACAGAGGATACAGTAGCTTGGTGGGACAGACACACATACCTATGACCCGGGTATCTAGCTCTTTGTCCAGAAGTTCTTCAGGCTCGGTGAAATCACTGAGTGTGATTTTGGGGGCATTTTCACTTTGGCTCACTGACCCAATCATCTCCTGTTCCTTGTCATGTTGGACCTGAGCATAGATGTTAATCCAGGGGATTTTCCTATGAAAGACAGGAACAAAATCAGATTAAAACCACAGTCAGGGCATGCCTAACTTGGATCACTGGAAATACTGAGCGATATGGGGAGGAAGGTGCTATTAACAGGGAGGGCCAATTTCAAGGAAAGGTACTGGTCACCCAGAGACACTGAGGCCATGAGTCCAAGGAACACAGTGCCAGCCAGACACCCGGATACCCAGGAAAGATAAACCACAGAACTCCTGGAGAAATGTAGCTTCTCGGGGGTGGGTAGGCATGGGAACACAGGTGTACACAAAAGGGTACTGCTGTTCATCAGTTATCTAGTAAAACCCTTATATTATTTACCTGTTACTAAGTTTTTAAAGGAACTGGACTTTGAAACTCACAAGGTTGTACATAATGAAAAGTCTTTTATTTCTCCTAAGTTTGCATCAATTTAATCAATTCATATTGGCTTCTTTTTTTTTCAAAGAATTATTTTAGTTAATCTATTTATTTATTTTAATTTGACCACAGAGGGACAGAATGAGAGAGTGAGATGGAGAAAGAGAGAGAGAGAGGGACAGAGAGAGAGACAGGATAAGTGAGAAAGCAAGCCATCAGGTCTGGGACTTGAACAGCAACAGTCCATGTGGGAATCTAGCATCCTTAACCACCATACCACCTACTGGTCCCATATCGGCTTCTTTTAAGAGCAGCCATGAAATAATAGATGCATAGCCTTTGTTACAATTTTTGAGGCACCACCTATGGGCCAAGTCTCTTAAATACTTTGATAGTCAGTTTCCTCATCTGTTCGATGGGGCAACAATAGCTTCCTTCTAGGATTGTGGGGAAGATTAAGGAAAGGAGTGAGAGAACATAAATAACTTCCTCTAAAGACATGAAAATGGTAGGTTTGGAAACACAAAGATGAATGACTAAAGGCTAAAGAAGCGGAGGAGTTCAGACTGAAATCTTGGAACATTCACCTCCTGACTCCCTTGCTAATTCCTGTTTCGTCCTCTGTAGCCTCCTTTGAATACTTTCACCCAGTGTTTATTTCTCAAGTGTTAATGTGCTTAGGCATCACCCAGGGGTCTCCTTACAATGCAGATTGCAACTTTATAGATGTGCACTGGATGGACTGAGATCTGCATTTCTTTTTTCTTTTTTCTTTTTTTTTTTGAGAGGTTTTTGCTATAAGGCGCGTGTGCTCGCCAGACAGACAGAGACAGACAGACAGAAAGTGAGAAATCACCCCCCGGGGGGATGGCCACACCACAATCCCTTCTCCTCCATTCTCCTCTCGGGATCTTGGGCATGCACGCACACATGCCCAGCGTGAGTTTTAAGCCACCAGGTCCGGGACATGAACTACGGTCGACTATTTGGGAGTCCAGCGACATAGCCTTTACGCTAACTGCTGGTCCCTGAGATCTGCATTTCTGCCACGCTTCCAGGGGATGTTAATGCTGCTCCTTGGTTGGAGACACAAACTTTGAGTTGCAAAACTCTTACACATCAAATTCTTCCCTGGTTTGAGGACTTTGAACTAGCTATTCCGTGTGTCCATACCATACCCCTCTCTGCTCTTCTCACACTTTGTTTTGGTTTCACTTTTGCACTTCAGAACTTGACTTACATGTCATCTCAGAGGCCTCTCCTGACCGCTCAACTCTCTTATTGTAAAATATGTAATTATAGGACAATGTCTAATAAATAAATAAATTATGTGTTGGTTTAAGATGTTGTAATAGACTTACTCATAATGTTTATTGACTTCCTTTCTGTCTTTTTATCCTCCTAGCCTAAAAATACATGTGGGCAAAGTCTATGTTTTCTAATTTAACTGCTAAAGATTTGACTTTGCACAGTGCTGGCACTTGGTTTACATTTATTAAGCACCTGTTGGACAAATGAATAAATGACCTCGAAACCCATGCTCTATTTTCCTATACTATACTCTTCAATACAAAGACTACATTTTTATCTTGGAATTTCACATATAGAAGGGACTTTTAACATCTCATCAAAGAATGCAGAGGTTGAACTAAAACCCAGGCATTTCATGATGCCAAGTATGAGTATAGCTATCATTAAAACTTGGGACATATACCACCTATCCCAATCTAGAACACTATATGTATTTCCAAAGGAGAACCTCCATTTGAAGCTTCTACAATCCCTTCTCCACTCCAGCTCCAAATAAGGCAGAAAGTGGGGGCATTTAACAATGTATTCCTGTAGTTAATTCAGAAAGAAAAATTGGAAAATGGGTTTAAAACAGGCAGTAGTTTCTATCTTTCCATTATAGTCAATTTTTGTATTTTTAATATTAGCTTTCCACACCTGAAGGGAGGTGTCCTCATGACACCTATTGATCCAAACTAGCTTAGTATAATTTATAAGAATGTTAAGTAGAATAGAATGTGTGTGAGGCAGCAAACTGCAGATCCTCTAAATGTGTAGAGCTAAAAATTCAGTCTTGTCTCTTCCTCTCTCTTTCTCTCTCTCTCAGGTTTCTGTCACAGGGCATGTGCACTCACCAGAGAGAGACAGAGAAAGACAGTGAGAGGAAAAGGGAGAAATCATCTCTCATGGGGATGATCATACTGCAATCCCTTTTCCTCCATATTCCTCTCAAGATTTTGGACATACCCACACACACGTGCCCAGTGTGTTTCAAGGACTCGAACCATGGTTGGCCATGTGCCTTAACCACCACACCACCTGTGGCCCCAACCTTTATTTTCTTACCTAAATAGAAAGGCAGTGCAACCGTTGGGATTCCTTCTAATCATAGAAGTACAAAGTACTCATGAGCTTTGGGATGAGCTATAATATTTGTTGAGTGCTGGGGGTAGTCATACCATTCCTAATCAACAAGTCTGTGAGCTTCAGTGTTGTAACCAGGGTTCACTGTCTCCTGTTTCCTGTTCTGCTAGTAGTACTCATGAGGAGTAGGATAAAGTGACACTTATGCAGATGGTTTGCTTGATTCAATTTCTAAAAACCTATCTAAAAACAGGCATAGTTTTCATTTTTGTGAATAGATGTCTGGGAGGGAACAAATTTTATGTCACAATGTTTTTGTCTCAGTCAAAAACATTGTCAAGTTGCTTTTCTTAACACATCCACTTGTAGGACTGTTGAGAATATAAGTTGAGTCTGAACCTTACTTTCATACATAAGAAACGTGAGAAATAGAGAGATCAAGAGATATGTCTTGGGCCACACATTCATGTAAGCTTAAAAAGAGGTGTAAGATAGATAGACTCAAGTCTCTCTCTCCAAAAAAAATAAAAACAAAGCAAAAACCAACTGCAGTTTGTATCCATTTGCTCCAGCTAAAATGAGTGTTAGAAGATTGTGAAAGGAAATTTAGAGAGAACAAAGAAAGCTTTGAACTGTAATGAAAGCCCTATTTAAAAAAAAAAAAAAAGATTGAGAGAAATATAAAATCTCAAATGTCTTCTTGGATAACCACAAAAAGTAGATTTACAGTTATAGAAAAAGTCTTCTTAGGCAGTTTTCAAAGGGCAAAAGCCATCTCATATGATTTTTAATTATATTGTTCAAGACATCAAAAAATAGAAGTCACTATTCCAAAATTAAGATGGAATGTGAACAGCAGGATGATATTTACTTAAATGACACTGGAGTCCTTGCAGCAAATTGATTGTCCTTCCTGCTAAGTGGCCATTTAGGATGCTGAGATTGTTGTCAGTGCCTGGCACACAGTAGGCAGTTAATAAATGTTTGTAGAATAAATTAATTGTTAAATAATTCAATTTTGGCAGTTACAGAGAGTAAGGGGTCTGAAAATTCAACATATCCAAAGACCTGAATGCAGAAATAGAATTTCACTTTACCCTACAGTGTGTTATTCAACAGTTTTTTATTAGCCAGGTAGAGCTATTCGAATGTAAATAAATTAGAATTAATATAATTAAAATGTAATCCCTCAGTCCATGGTGGCTACTCTATTAGCACAGATTATAGGCACTCCTCATTTAGTGACCGAGTTACCGTCCTATGGCAAGGTCACTAAGTGGATTGGTCAATAACTGAGAAACTTAAAGGTCTATGTCTTGTGTTACGTCCCAGTGCCGTAGGGTATGTATTTTTCAATAGCTATCATGCAACATCGTGCTAGAATAATGTAATTCTATCCAAACAAAAAGTATGCCTTACATAAGCACCAGAAAGTGACAAGACACATTACAACAAAGTAATGTAAGTGCAGCCTAGTTGTTTTATTTATTCTGAATACTGTGTGGGTGCACAATAAAGCACAATTTTATAAATAAAATATGTAGTCTTGGATGATTGCAAATGCTTCATATAGTGCATACTAACTGATTAGGGGAATGAGAGAAAGACTGAGAAAGGGGATTCCTGGTGCTGGAGAACTGGTCATAAGTCAGTCATTAAACAGGTAGGTCATTAGGTGAGGAGTGACTGTATTACTGTTTTCCTCATTGCAGAAGTTCTATTGGACAGCAATGAAAAAAGACGGAATCCACAGGTAGGAACCTGAATATTACTTGTTGCAAGCTTGACATCTCCCATGTAACCACTGTGGAGCCCATGCGATAGGAGGGAAAGGAGACCGAAGAAATAAAAATTAATAATAATGAAACAAAGTCTCCATCAAAGAGCTTGAGCACTGGAAGGAAATATTCCAGAAACAAGGGATTAGAAATGTAAAAGTTAATTGATGACTAGTTGTGCTTAGCTGATAGGCTGTTTATCTAGTTTGACTGGTTTTTGTTTCCTGTATCCTTAACTGCATGATCCACTGTCAGGGAAACAGAAAGGACTGGTTGATAATTGGGAAACAGAAAGGTAGACCGGTTTACAGACATCATTACTAGGTATGGATTCATGTATTAAAAGTGTACAGATTTAGAAATGCCTACATTAGTGAGGTGACTGTCTAGGGAGTTTAGCAGCATTTCTATAAAAAATACACACTTTGTTAGCTACCTGATAAATTTTGCCTTAATCTGTAACCACCTGAAACAAATGCCTCTATGCAGAACTTCTGTTGCCCTTGTCTTCAGCAACCATGAAGTCTTAGATGCCAGAGGTGATACACTTATCTTAGTTGATTTTTAAAAAATAATTATTTTATCGGGACCAGTAGTTAGCATAATGGCTATGTCACTGGACTCCCACGTAGTCGATCCCTGTTCAAGTCCTGGACCCGGTGGCTTAAACTCACACCGGGTGCGTGTGCATGTGTGCCCAAGATCCCAAGAGGAGAATGGAGGAGAAGGGATTGCGGTGTGGCCATCCCCCCTGGGGGGTGATTTCTCGCTTTCTGTCTCTATGTCTCTGTCTGTCTGGCGAGTGCACATGCCCTATAGCAAAAACCTCTCCAAAAAAATCTTTTTTATTTAACTTTATTTATTTTATTTTAATTAAACCAGATAGGGAGGGAGGGAGGGTGAGAGAGAGAGAGATGGAAAGTGAAAAAGCAAGCCACCAGGTCTGGGACTTGTACTACGGTCCTCCATGTGGGAGTCCACCACGCCAACTGCTGGCCCCTATCTTAGTTGATGTTTAAGCCCCAGTAACCACCAGGCTTCCCCCAAAACAAATCCTTGAGTGAGTTATTTGCATGTGATTGAAGTTCATCCATAAATGTTGCATTAACCAGACTTTCTATATTGAACCTTTTCTAATTGTGATAGAAAGTTTAGTTCCCTATTTTCCAAGGGATCAGGAATATGTGGGTTGATACATCTTGACGCAAGAGGATTTTCATTCACACTGTGGATCTATAAATCAATTAGGTAGGTAAATCTCATTCAGTCTTTCTAGTGGGCATGGAAGTTGTTGGTAGGATCCCTGACCATGTGGCTAAAGTTGAGAGGTATATTGAGCAAATCTGGTGTTTTTAAGCAACTGAGATCTACCTGAGGAGACCTAGCAGGAAGAAGGAAAATTCAACAGGAAGAGTAAAGCACCTTCACCAGTGTTCTCTGAAAAATCTAAAAATATTACCATGAGTACCCAGAAAGACTCTCAGAACCAAGCGATGCTTTCAAAACTCATCTGATAATAATTAATAATATTTCTACTTTAATCATGTTTACAAAGAAGCACATCTTTTGAAGTCAAGTTCTTTGTTATTCCTAATAGCTTAGCTTTGTTGATTATTTAGCAAGGATCCAGCATAGATATTGTTACATTTAAACCATATAGCAAATCCATAAAGTATTATTATTCACCTGATTTTAGAGATAAGAAAACTAAAGCTTAGGGAGGCAAATACAATCATCCATGGTTACACAGGCTAAAAGTTAAAATTGAATCTGATTTCAGAGGCTGCAATCTTAATCAGGGTGTTTCCTGGAAGAAGTATTATGTAATTTGAATATTTATATAGAATTATTGATTTTGATTCATGTTTTTAATAAGTATCCTGCTCTGTCACTCCTCCTGTGGCTTTCAGAAATAATTTCAGAATACATGTGGAGTTTGGTTTTCTTGATCAATTTCCCTTTTTAAATTTATTATATTATTGACAGAGAGCATGAATGCTCACCAAAGAGAGGGAAAAGAGAAAGAAAAAACATCTACTCCAATGGGGCCTGATAACACTATAATGCCTTTCCCTTTCTCCATCCCATCAGGATCTGGGGCACAGTCACACAAACACTTGGTGTGATTTTCAAGTTGCCCAGGCTGGGATTCGACCAACGTGACTGCCCATGCACAGGGCTTCCCTGCTATAGGATAGAATCAGCCACCAATATCCTTTTAGACACGGGAAAAAGAAAGGTAGGGATGGAGATTGAATCATTTTTAGCATGCAAATTTAAATAGATATTGGATAGCTGTACCACAAAATAATAAAGTGTGTGTAAGTGCATTTTGTGTGTGTGCACGTGGGTGTCAGATTTTATCTGTGTTTTCTGTTTAATCCCCCTGAATGGTTGTTGAGCTATAGAAAAATATCTGAATATCTGAGACCTTGCTGTAGAAATTTGGGTGATATTTGAAAACACTTTACACTTCTCTCAAAGATTGATGTCATAGGCTAGTTCTTATTTACTTAACTCATTATACCTGTGATAAAGTTGAAATTTTTTTAAACCCATTAATTTCTTGACTCCGAACCATTCCTACTTTTGCCCACTGTCAAACAGAACTTCAAGGAGAATTAATACATGTTCTTGTGTGCGGTTTAGGGAAATTGGTCCTAGGTAAACTTATCTGCAGTGAAACTTGCACCAAAATAAAAATCGAATGGCAATAACACATACCTCTTAAACTTATAGATCAAAAACACGGCCAGGCCCACAAACACCACTGACAAGAGCATAAGCATGGCCGAGCTGCTATGCCCAGCACTGGAGTCCACCAAAGGCGCTAGGAAGAGAAATAGACATGTTCACTTAGAAGTATTAGCTGGAGGGAATACCTATTGGGGAAGAAAGGACAACCGCTCCTCCTCCTCGTTTTGGGGAGAAAAGGACATCCGCTCTCCCTCCTCGTTTCCAGTCTCCATTGCCCTGAATGGTGTCTAGACACAGGAAGTGTGGCTTCTAGGATGAGAATGATATTCCCAATCACAGCTTCTGAGGGAAAGTATACTACTTTGTTCTGCCTGGGGAAATTTACTGTTCTTGGTGCAAGTTGAACAATGTGTTTCCAGCTGAGGGGAATAGAAGGGTTTAAATGATCTTTCTCTTAGCCTATATGCCTGACAGGATGGCTGCAGCCCATTTGAAATTCTGGCTTAAACACGAATGCAATGTTAAATTCTCTTCCTCTACACTGTTCTGGTAATACACTTGTGGATGGGCACATTTAGAACCTTCATATCAGAGAAGCCTTACATTAATAAGAACCATTTAGCAAATAGGTTCTCCCACAGAGTCAGAAGTTTATGCCCAGTGGGACATGACTTTTTTTTAATTTCATAAATTAACAAAATACATTTGTTCCCTGTTTCTACTTAGATTCATACATTATAAATGGGAAGGCAGTCTTAAAGTTACATGATGTGTCCTCCAATACTAGATTGATGAAATCAGCTAATCACAGAAATTAATAGTTTAAGAACTACCCAGTGTAACGCCAACTATTGCAGAAATGAGTAAATAGAGCCAAGACCCAAAGAAACTGTAGGTTTTCTTCAAGAGTATCCAGGGATTCAATGGAAAAGCCACTCCAAAGAGTCTTCCTGCCACCCCCCACAGGGTTATCCAGAGAGACAGTAAGGATAATTATGAGCCATAAAAAAAAGAGCCCTCCTACAAAGCCAATGCTAGGCATCTACAGAGATATCTGAGGACACTTTTCTCCTTTTCTCTCTGTGACGACTCATCATACTCTTTACTCCAGTTGCCATTGACACTCACCTAAAGTCAGCTGTGTGACATACACAATGACTTGAACCCCTGGCTTCAGTTCAAACTGGACCAAGTTTTGGTTTAGAGCATTAAATAGTGTCTCTACAATCTGAAAAATAAAAGACAGGCTGCATGGAAAATCATGACATATGATGATGCTCTGCGATAAAAGAATGAAAGAGAAGATCAATAGGTAATAACACACACACACACACACACACACACACACACACACACAAAAACAACAAAAACAAAATAAAAAAAACAAAAAAAAAAATCAACAGCCATCATATCCCATCAGGGATCAGGGGATAGGAAATTGAAATCGCTTTAACAGTTTGGTTCTTGAAGCCTTTGGAACCCTATGAATCCAAGAAAGTAGCTGGTATTACTTATTTATATTGGAGAGTTGGAGAGGAGAGTGAGAGAGAAAGAAGGGTGTTCATAACCACCGACTGATTACAGCTCTAATGAGCTATATAACTGACACGCATTTCACTGTGCTTCCAGTTCAGTGCTCTTTTAGCTATCTCTTTATAAACAACTGTTAAAAAACCTTTTGTGGGTTTAAATTTTAAAAACAAACAAACAAACAAATAAACAAAAAACACAAAACATCATTAGCTCTTTAACCTGATCAAATAATACACACTGTACATAGAGGCATAGAGGTTCCTGCTAGGGTTAAAATTAAAGTAGACATGTAGATCCCCATCCCACTCCTCTGTATTTTCATTTTTTTCTTTTTTATCTTAGAGACAATAGGAGGCAAACATCAAAGCAGAAGCTGCCTCCTTTTTATGGGATAATTTTTCCTCTTTACTTTTCCCCTGCAAGTCTCAGAACACATAACATCGATTTAATCACTCTGTAATTCCCACATGAAAGCTAAGGCAGACAGAGACTGTTGTCCCTAACTCTTATCTCTCTGTACGCGCCTTAATATCACAGCTGCTATTCATCACCGTAATTACCTATTTATCTAAATGGATGGATATTGTAGCTTCCAAATATAGTTCACACATGCCACTTGCTATTTCAGAATAAAAAGGTCTTGTAAAAGTGATGTATGCATTGAGAAGCTGAATTTATTTCTGGCCAGCTTCAATATGCAACCTGCAATGCACACAACTGTTAGCTTTTCCAGAGAAACTGATTTCAGTGAGCATCTCTATGGCTCAAAGACTGTAAATGAACATAGGGACAGGGTGACAGCCAGGTCAGTACCAGTGGGACACAGAAGATTTTTGTACAATGATTACCTCACACAGGAGCAAATGAGTTTGATTCATGCCAACTTCAACAACCTCATTCTTATTATTTCTGCCTCTTGGGTAGCATCATGATAAGTCAGGGAAGGGTGAAATGGAGGGCAGACAGTAAGACCCCCATAGGAGAAGGTAAGGCAGAGAAATACCAGAGAGGCTATCTCCTTTACTTCCAGGATAGTGTGGCATTACAGGAACCATATACCCATTGGATAAGAACAGTAAAGCACAATCACTTTGGAAAATTCTGCTTCCTTAGTCAAGGCAAGATGAGATAAGTTGTTTCTCTCCAAAGAAACATACTTAAAAGTTATTTTCTCCCCCAAGAGCAGAACTTAAATGAACAGGATCTCTAGGGTTCATGTAGTTTAAAAATAAGAAACACATATTTCCAGAAACAGAACTCAAATACTCTCTCTTTTTCTCTCTCACTTCCTTGTACCCCAAGAAGAATCGTTGGGAGGGATGCATGTATAAGAGATGGGGTATAAGAGACGGGGTTGCCAGCCATTGGAATGAATGATGCGGGTGGCAGAATACTGCAGTCTGTTCCCATCTGTGTTTATTCTGGGTAGGAAGGATTGTCCTTAAAACTCTGGGCAATTGGCAAAGACTGATGGGTCGATGGGTCAGTGGGGGTGTTTGTCTTCTCTTTTGGATGGAAAAACATTTTGCATCCCTTCAGAATGTGGGATGCATGCAAATGTCCCAACCAAGCTTTCTCTCACTTACTTGTTCAAGGTCCCCTTCATTGCCTTTCCTTCGCTCTGTCAGGTTCTTGGGTGGGAGGATGAAGAGTTCTGCTGAAGTGGGGAGGCCAGGGAATACAGCAACAAGGATCTGGTCTTCTGGGACACTGGTTACCTGCCAAGATTTATACCACAAAATGAGGTCTTAAAGGGGCTAGCATTTCCCAGTATCAAGCAACATCATATGTACTGTTGGCGTCTCATATTAAGTTTTTAAACATAGCATTTTGGGCTTAGGTTCTAATACACATCCAGGCTTTCTTTGTGTTTTTCTCCTAGAATTTCTAGGTAAAGAATCAGTCGGTTGACTACCTCCACTGCTTTTTACATACATTTTTAAACCAAAACTAAAATAATATTACAAATGATTTTCAAAGTACTATTCACTGGGAACATTTGCAAAAATTGTCCCATATAATCCATGGTTTTTTGCACTGAAGCCTTGTGCTGCTGGCTACAACACAGACAGACTGGATGCAAATGAGGAATAAGAAGATATAAACAAACAGGAAAATGCAAATTTAAAAAGAGCAGAGCAGCACTTGTTTTCACTTATTAAAGCAGGTTTTTTTTTTCTTTTTTCTGGTTTAATATCTAATATTGGTGAAGCTGCAATGAGGGAGGTTTCCTCATTTGTTGCTGGCGGTACTAAAAATTGGTACATATTGCCAATTTGTTTTTTAAAAGACTTACTTTAAGGCCATAAAAATATTCATACCCTTCACTTAGAAACTATAATTTGGAAAGATTGTCCTAAAGACATGATCTAAAATATAAAAAAAAATCCATATGCAGGAAAAAATACTTACAGCATTATTTATAATATCAAATAAATGAGAAAAACTCAAATATTCAAAAATTTAAGTAATCACCTGATAGAATATTATTATGCCATTAGGATGATAATGAGCACTATGAGGCAACATGGACAAAACACTTATGATTGCTGTACTTCCTTCCATATTTTTGGTTACAACTCTATAAAAATACAAATGTATGGAATAGAAGAGTAGCAAAATACTAAAAGTTGTTAAGAGGCTGAGAATATGAGTGAGTCTTTCCATTTCTGAGTGTTTAGTGAAAAGATTATATTGCTTTTGTGATAAAAACTTAAAAGTAGGCTTCAATCTGAAGGCAAATTTCTGAAGAAATGTAATTCTGATTTTGTCCTCTATACAGAAGATACGTAGCCTTTCCTAAGTTTCCTAAATGTATCTTATCTATTGGGTCTTCAGAAAAGTCATGACACATTTTTGCATTAAAAAAACATAGAAAAATATGTTATGACTTTTCTGATGACCCAATAGAACACAACTTTTACCAATCCAAATATGATGCATAATTTGTGATTCAGCTGAAACACCTGCTGTCTCTACCTGCAATCATTTCCTCCACTTCAGCCTCTAGCCCTAGCTACCCAAGATGGTCATGTCACCACATTTCAAGGACACATACTGTGTCCACTGTGACTTATGTTTACATCTGTCTGTTATAGTCTTCTTTGGTAGGTTTTTATTGCATTTTTTTCCAAGATATTCTGGAGGGTATTTGTGGTTACCTCACTATTTAAATGATGCTTGAACAGAATAGAAAATCAGTAAGCAGTTGCTGAATTGCACACTAGAAGGACTGGTGGTTTCTCATTTGCCCTGGCATCTTTTAGGACCAGTCTTATAGATAGAGTTAACTTTCCGGAAGAACAGCGAGAGAGTTAGTTTACAAGAAAGTGAGAAGCAGGAGTCAGAAACCAACGGTACACCAACCAGGGTGGGCATCTTTTTGAAACCCCAATGTGGTTTGCTAGATCATTCCTGATGTGAGATGTGACCCTCTAGTAGCTGGGAGTCTCAGGGCCCAAGTCCATGAGGCAGAAAGACCTTATTCTAAACACCTAGGGGAAGCAAATCATCTAAAACCAGGATAAGGAGCAAATTTCAGAGAAGCATCCCTCCAATGGAGTGAAGGGATGTGAGCTTGTTAATGCTTTGGTTGGTGTGAATGACCCTTTGTCTCAAGGAAGAGTAATCTCAGGAAGCATTCCTCAGTCAAGGAACCTGGAGAGATCTTGGAGCTGGGTATCTAGATTCACTTAATCCCATCGAAAGGAACATGAGTGTGAGTGTTCCTTGTATAGTTAAGGCCTGGGCATAAATTGACATGGCTAATTATTATTTAATAGAATTGTTATTATAATTTCCAAGATGTTTCTTTTTTCTTTTCTTTTCTTTCTTTTTTTTTTTTTTTTGGATTTTTGCTCTAGGGTGTGTGCGCTCACCAGAAAGACAGAAAGCAAGAAATCACCCCCTGGGGGATCGCCATGCTGCAATCCCTTCTCCTTCATTCTCCTCTCAGGATCTTGGGCATGCACACACATGCACCTGGTGTGGGTTTAAGCCACCGGATCCAGGACTCGAACTGCAGTTGAGTACACGGGAGTCCAGTGACATAGCCATTACACTATCTGCTGGTCCCTCCAAGGTGTTTCTTAAAAAGCAAGTAAGGTTTTAATAAAAAGCAACCAAACAGAATGTAACAAATTCTAGATGCCTTGCTGTCAAAAATTTGAGAGACTTCAAAAAGTTCATGGAAAAATAGAATTAATGTGTGAGTTTATTTTGGTATAGAAAAATTTACATCTATGCATACTCTTCCATTATATGCATTTCCATAAACTTTTTGAAACTCCTTCATTTGTGTTATGGCCTGAATTTATTTTTTAATTTTGTTTTTAGAGAGATTATTGCTAAAGGGTACATGCACTTGGCAGAGAGACAGAGAGAGATAGAAGGACAGAAAGTGAGAAATCAACCCCCCTCCCCTGGGGAGGGGCCACAATCCCTTCTCCTCCATCCTCCTCTTGGGTTATTGGGCATCCACACACGTGTCCAGTGTGAGTTTTAAGCCACCAGGACTCAAACCACATCCAAGTATGTGAGAGTCCAGAGACATAACCATTACACTATCTTCTGGTCCTGTGGTCTGAATATTTATGTCTCCTCCAGTCTATATGTTGAAACCTAATCACCAATGTTATGGTATTAGGATATGGCAGGACCAGTAGATGGTGTAATGGTTATGTTGCTGGACTCCCACATAGTTGACCACAGTTCAAGTCCCAGACCAAGCAGCTTAAAGCTCATGCCAGATGCATGTGTGTGAATGCCCAAAATCCCAAGAGGAGAATGGAGGAGAAGAGACTTCAGCATGACCATCCCACTGGGGGGTGGAGGTTGTGATTTCTTGCTTTCTGTGTCTCTGGCAAGTGTGTGACCCCTATAGCAAAATTTCTTTCTCTAACAACAACAACAAAAAAGATATGGGGGCCTTTGGGCAGTGATCAGGTTATGAAGGTGGAACCCTCATGAATAGGATTAGTGCCTTATTAAAAGACCCCAGAAAACTCCATTTCCTTTCCAACATGTGAGGATATAGTTAGAAGCTGCCATTTGTGGATCAGAAAATTGGCTTTCCTCAGATACCAATTTGCTGACACCTTGACCTTAGACTTCCCAACCTCCAGGACTGTGAGAAATAAATCTCTGTTGTATAAGCCATCCAGTTTATAGTATCATGCTATAGCAGCTAGAACAGACTAAGTCAATATGGATAGCAATCTCATTTTCATCTTGTTCCATAAATAATCTCTTTGTAAAAACGATTTAAAGCCAAGTTTCTCTGATAGAACACTCCCCACAGGAATGCTCTCATAGCATTCTCTTTTATTTATTCCGCTTCCTTTTTGTCAGCCTCTTCTCCATGCCCTTGCCTGGATCTTTTTCCTCTGCCTTGGGAACATCAGTAATCATGTCTGCCTTGGCCCCCTCAACCCCTGGGGAAGCCTAATCTCCAAATCCTTAGTTCTCAGAGCTCTTTCTCCAGCACAAACCTGGGCTTGATCTTCAGAACCATATTTTCAATCCTCCTAGTCATCTTCATCCAATTGTTTCTCATGTGCTCTAAATTCTTATTAAAATGATCAAACAATTATTGCTCCCTAAGTGTACTTCTACACAGTTCCCATTTTGATTAATGTCACCTCCTACCTGCTCTTGTAATTCTCCCTCCCTCTTGTTCATGCTGTATTTTATTAATCACCAATTTTATTGATCAGCTTCCCAACTAGCTTTTGACTTCTTCAAGGTATTTAGACTAGATATTATTATCTAGAACTAGATCTCTGGTCTAGATAACTGCTATGGTCTTTTAATTAGTCATCTTTTGTGAACACTCTCCCCCTTTCCCCAGTCCCTTCCTATCCCAGCAGCCCATGCTCTTCAGTACTTACTACCAGAGTGGGTTACAGAAAAATTATTCCATCTTTTAATTTAAAAAAAACGACACCTTTCATACTTTCCAGTGACTATAGGATAGATGTCAAGCCCATTTTAGCTTCTCAGATCTTTCACAATCTGACTTCACTACACTAGCCAACTTCAGCCACACTTGTTCTTAAAACCTATATACTAGCTACATCAAACTCTTCAATTTCCCAAGTATGCTATGTTCTTTTAGTAGTCCATGGCTTTGCATATATTGTTCATTTTACTTGAAAGATAGCATCATCTCTCAGTTAACTGAGACTTATTCTTTCATTAAAGTTTAAGAAATTTGGAACCAGCAGATGACATAATGGTTAAGTTGCTGGAATCCCATGTAGGTGACCACAGTTCAGCCCGGACCCAGTGGCTTAAAACTCATGCCGCGTGTGTGTGCATGCATGCCCAAAATTCCGAGAGGAGAATGGAGGAAAAGGAATTGCAGCATGGTGGTTCCCCTGGAGGGATGATTTCTTGCTTTCTGTCTCTGTCTGTCTCTCCAGTGAGCATATGTACCCTATTGCAAAGATCTCTCTCTAAAAAAAAAAGTTCATAAAATGTATTTTTTCAGAGACAGAGAGAAGGAGGCAGCCTTTCAAAGTGTGCATGTCACGATGCACTTCCAGTCTCAGCTGGTACAAACCATAGGCATACATGTGCACCTGACAAGTTCAGGGATGCCCTGGGACATGAACCTGCAACCTTCCCGTGTGGGTCCAGCTTTGCAGAATATTGCTTTACCACTGAACTACCACAGCTGACCCTATATTTATTCTTGAAAACACAGTTAAAGTAGCCCCTTCAGAACCATTCCAATAGTTCAACAAGTATTTATCACATTGCAAATTTGTGCCAAGCTTGCACTTCCCTGGAAAGAGCAAACTACTTTTCTCCATGCTCCTTGGAGATGCCGGTCATGCCTATGCTGTAGAATTGGTCACACATCAGACTGGTTTCCATATATGAACAGACTGTGTTTTATTAATCATTACATTTCAGTGCCTATCTTTGAGAAAATGGTCATTATAATTCTTTGCTTTCTCTAAGGCAAATCTGACCTTGGGTTACCTCTATAACTCTATTACCCCAATGGAATGTTCTGTTTCCTGGCCTATACCACTGGTGTATGGCCAATGGTAGTCTCATGAGTCTGAATGTCTGATTAAGAAGAACCTCTGATGAGCAAAGAACCAGTTAAGTGCATAATATTAGCATAAATTCAGTAAGTAGTCCCTACATCATTCCGTTAAACAGGTCAAGCTCCAGTGTTAGAAAAATTTAGAATAAACATTGGGCCAATTTTCATCTTTAAACACTAGCTTGGACCCCCCTCTCTCCCATCCCTCACTTTCTCCCTCTTCTTACTCCCACTATCCTGTACTCCCTGCATTCCTTTCTCTCTTTCTACAAAGAAATAATCCTTCTCTACCATCAAATGGTGTTTTTAACCCATGGATATTCATTCTGGACCACACTATGTAATTATTTTCTTAATTAACAAAGACTTAAAGATAACACAAACTTACTTTGACCAGAGCTCGCTTGATAACATTGCCAATATCTTGCCTCCACTCAGGAATGTCAGGATTGTGGTAATCCAGGTTAGGAGAGAAAGATAAGAGCTGGGATTGGAAGTATTCTGCAGGGAGAGAGAGGGTGCAGGTGAGGCAGGGACAGTGTGAAGAAGGATGTGATGGGTGAGGGGGTCCCATAGTCATTGTGCTTTAGTGAAAGGCTCTACCCTGTTATAGAACTTCAGCTGGAATTCCTTATTCTCAGCCTGTGTCTGCACTTCCTAAAGAAAGTGGAATTCGGTGATTGGAAGTAGCTTTATGCTCCTGCCAATTTTGTTAGTTCTTAAGATTTTAAGCCTTTCTCCTGGGAAAGCATATTATCTGAAATGAAAGACCAGTATGAAAAACCATAAAGAGACCTTTGCTACTGTAGGTGGTACCATGCAGAGCCACCCAAAAACATTAACAAGTTGGGCTTGGCTGGAATGGACTTTTTGCACTTCTTCCCCAGTCCCTTTGTGCATGTGCTAGAAGCTGCCTGGGAGGATGAGACAATAGGTTGAAACGTTGTATCTATGGTGTGGTTAATGTTCAATTTCTTGACTTAATGGCGAATACACATGTCTGTTTATTTTGTGGTAATTCATGAAGCTACTTGTAATCTGTACACTTCCCTGAATACAACTGATAACCTCTATGAAAATATTACTTAAAAATTAAAATTCCAAGTGCCTGATGAAAAATCTGGTGGCAAATTTATATACATATATAAAAAAACTCACCTAGGTAAGTCTAAAAAATACTATCTAAGTCAGAGGCTCACGTACCTTAGTGTAACTTTCCAGAAAACTGGTGATGGTATCTATGTCTAGGCAACTGAGGGAGGTTTTGTGAGATGGCAGTGGACACACAATTAAATTTGAAATAAATTTGGTAATTAAAAATGGTTTGCTGGGATTGAAAACAAGATAGTAGTAGCCCTGTTTACTACTCTCTGGATTTTTCTCCAAGAATTTATATGTGTGTGTGTGTGTGTGTGTGTGCATGTGTATATATATATATATTGTGTGTATGCTATCCAGAGAGAGGGAGAAGAGGAAAAGTGAGAAAGCATCCCCAATGGGGTATGATCCATGCAATCTCCTCTCCATTTCTCCCTCCTTTTGGCATTCTGGGTACACATCACACATGCTGGGTTGGGACTAGAACTACCTAGTCAGCCATGTGGAATGTGACTGCATTAACCACCATGCCACAGGCTGCCCCAAGCTTACATTCTTATACTTTCAAGCTTTGTAGCCAATGATGTTAGAGTCTACAGCAACTAAGAAAAAACATGAGTCACGTGTAAGCCATTGCAATACGTGAGGGCAAAAACCACAACTTCCCTGCTTTTGAAATCACTGATGGTGATATCACCAAGAGTGGGTGCTGCACATTTGTTATAGACACCTCAGCAAGACATCAGATCTAGTCCTTTTGTGATAGACTTTCCAGCTTGGCAATCCTTCAACCCATGACTCTCTTCCTATGAAAATCCCAAATAGGCTGTGATAAACACACACTGCAGGGTACAAAAAAGATCTGTCCATGATCTTCTTTCTTATTACATGGATCTCCATCCAGGAGCAAAGGAGAAGGTAGGTTTGGAAGCCTCTTGAAGATGGATATATTGGGTCCTTAGAAAAGTCATTATGCATTTTTTGCAAAAATGTGTCATGACTTTTCCAATGACTCAATAATTTTCCCTTGACCTGGGGAATTGCCAAAGCAATCAGAGGGAACTGGCTGGGTCATATAAAGTACTCAGGACAGTTGCCAGGGCTTACCATGGACTGCGATATCTTTTGTGTCCTGGATAAGAGCATTCCCAGCAGCCACCTGGACGGTGATGGTATTGGTTCCCTCTGCCAGGAATGTGAAGGAAATGCTGCTGTCCAAGGTGATGAGGGGCTACAAGGAGAAGTGACAACACCATTTAGTCATCTGCAGGGCATCCAATTTTCTTCCTTTCCCGTATATCTCAGGCTGTCATTCAAACTTGAAAAAACAAACAAACGAAACAAAACTGTACACAACTTCCTAGAACTGTGGTTATTCATTCAGTATCCAGGGTGGGTATTAATATATTTGCAACAAATCATAAAATGTTAATTATCAGAGATGAGGAGGGCCAGTCTGGATACCCTGGATTTTGCATGTCATTCTGTTTCTTCTCCAGGGCAAAGTGGAATCAACTTTTATAACCTGTCCCTGTTGATAGTGGGAACAGAAGATCATTATTCCTCTATTTCTAGTGCCCCTGTTATTTTTTCTTTTTTTTTTTTTTTAGTTTGTTATAGTGTATATGCACTTGCCCAAGACAAGCAGAGAGAAAGAGAAAATGATAAATCGCCCGCTATGGGGTGGCCATGCTGTAATCCCTTCTCCTCCACTCTCCTCTCAGGACTTTGGGCACACATGCAAACATGCCCAGCATGATTTTCATGCCACTGGATCTGGGACTTGAATAATGTAGCCACCCATGTGAGAATCCAGCACCTTAACCACCACACCACCTCCTGGTCCATGTCTCTTTTATTTTCATTCTGTATTCCATTGGACTATAAGACCTTTTAGAGAAATAATCACATTTTATTTATTATTTATTTCGGCACATTCTTCTAGGCATTTTTTTTTTTTTTGAGAGGTGTTTGCTATAGGGCGCGTGAGCTCGTCAGACAGACAGAGAGAGACAGATAGACAGAAAGCGAGAAATCACCCCCCAGGGGGGATGGCCACGTCGCAATCCCTTCGCCTCCATTCTCCTCTTGGGATGTTGGGCATGCATGCACACGCGCCCGGAGTGAGTTTTAAGCCACCAGATCTGGGACGCGAACTGCAGTCGACTACGTGGGAGTCCAGCGACATAGCCATTACGCTAACTGCTGGTCCCTCTTCTAGGCATTTTTGTTGTTGTTGTTAAAGAGAGATTTTTGCCATAGGGAGCATGTGCTCGTTGGAAGGACAGAAACTGAAAGAGAAATCACCTTTGGGGGGATGGCCACACCGCAATCTCCATTCTCCTCGTGGGATTTTGGGCATTGGGCATGCACACACACGTGCCCGGCATGAGTTTTAAGCCATCAGATCTTGAATTTGAACTGCAGTTGACTACATGGGAGTCCAATGACATAACCATTACATTATCTGCTGGTCCCAGCATAGTGTCTTTCAAAATGAACTGAATTAAATCCATATTCCCAATTTGTTTTATTATATCCATGTTTTCCATTGAAAGACAAAACATTTAAATAGGGTGAAAAACATATCATACATATCATACATATCATACATATCTGTGATTGTCCCTAAATATTCTGTTTTTGCTTTTTTCTTCCTTATCATTATAACAGATAAGAACTTCTTAGGAATAAAGAGGGAAATAAAACAATTACTTTTTTATTCCCTCGTGAGAATTGAGATATTGGTAAGAGCAGGTGCTCACTGGAGAGAAGAGAGTGCAAGTCCCGAGATTAAAGAGTCATTGTTCAGTGGACACCTTAAATCGCCTGCTCTCTCAAATATTCTGTTGTTTGGAAAGTGAGACATAACAGTGGGAGGCTGATCTAAGAAAGCTGATAAGGAGAAGTCAGAAGCTGAGAAGAGTAGACTCCCCTCCTTTCTGTGAGTTTAAGAGATAGACGATGGAGTTACAGGATAGAGAGTAACAATACAGCCAGTTGGGGGATGCACAGAGATGCCCTGTAAGGGGGTGGATGTGGGCCAGCATCCACAAAGAATGCCCCTGTGGGGCCTGAATGCATACATACACAGAGCCCTGCAGAGCCTTCAAGATGGCAGCTTTCAGACAGTGTCCCCTTTTTGTGTGACTGAAATCCTTTCTACAATAGATCAGAATTTTCAGCTGGGCCTCTAAAATAATAATTTGAATTCCTCTACTTCAAAATTCTATAGCTTCATTTTGTGACCAGGCTAGTGGTTAGAGTTGAGCAAGACTAGAGTTATTGCTTTACCCTTCTAGCACTCTTTCTTCTCTCCCAAATGAAAGAAGACAAGGGGTGTGGAAAGAGTTCTATTCCTTCCCTTAACTAAGAATAAACCCCAGGGTCCAGGCAGTCTTTCTCATACTTATGGGCTGGTGAAGAGACATATGAGGGTGTGGCCTTCTGAATTAAACAAACAAGGGATGAGGAGGAAATTTGTCATGCATGTGTGATCCAACGGGTCAGTAGGGGCTATTTAGAGTCCTATTTTGAGAAGGAAACTGAAGTCGAGTTGGGCTCAGCATAGCAAATTTGGTCATGTCCACGGAATAAGGAAATGGCAACATGTGTGCCACAGCATTGCCATCTGTGATGTAACAAGAATGCTGACTTGAAACTGGCTCTGACACTACTTAATTGAAAAATCTTGGGTAAACAATTATGTTCCCATTCTAGGCCTCAGTTCATTTTCTGTTAAATGAAGAGTCTGCTTTAGAAGATCTGTGAGGCTCATTCAGGAGTCAGAATCAATGGGGGTGACAAAGGGATTTAGGGAAAATTTCCAATAAGCCCACTTGGTATCCCTCTGAAAATCTTCAATTGCTTTATCATACTAATCACACTCTTTAGAAAGTAAAGAAGATATGCCTATGCAACCAAAAAGATGGATATATATCTATATATAAATATATATTTTAAAAATAGGAATATATAAGGGAGGAAAGTGTTGGGAGAGAGTAGGTGATGGAAGGTGGGCATGAGAAATATAAAAAAAGGAAAAAATGAAAATAACAAGTAATACTGAAGATGTAGAGCAACTCAAACTCTCATATGGTTCTGGTGGGACTGTAAAATGGAACCACCACCTAGGGCAAGATTTACTTTTAAAAGAAATTGCAGGAGCTTTTTAAAAAATGGTTGAACCATTTTCTAATTTATGAATTGACCATTAAAATGCTAAGAAGTTAGTCATGAGAAAAAATAACTCATGTCCACAAAAAAATGTTTATAGCAACTTATTCATAATAGCCCAGGAATCCATCAACAAGAAAGTTGCTACTGCATTATTACCTTTGCATCGAGTTCTAGGACAGGCAAATCTAATCTATGTTGGAAGAAAAAAACAGAATAGTCATTTGATTTGAGGATTAAGAGTGAGGATCAACTGACAAAAGGCAGAAGAGAACTTCCAGAGTGATTGTAATACTACTGGGTCATTGGAAAAGTAACAGCATATTTTTCCTTTTTATGCAAAAATGTGTCATGACTATTCCGACAACTCAATCTTTATAGGAATTCGTATAACATTGATAAATGTCTTTGTCAAAACTCAGTAAGTGGGGAACAGCATTTGGCGTAATGGCTATGTTTTTGGGCTCCCACGTAGTCGATAGCAGTTCGAGTCCCAGATCCGGCGGCTTAAACTCACGCTGGCGCATGTGCGTGTGTGCCCAAGATCAAGAGAGGAGAATGAAGGAGAAGGGATTGTGGCGTGGCCATAACCCCCTGGGGGGGGTGTGATTTCTTACTTTCTGTCTCTCTGTCTCTGTCTTTCTGGCAAGCAAGCGCACGCGCCCTATAGCAAAAAAACCTCTCAAAAAAAAAAAAAAAAAAAAAAAGATAAAGCTCAGTAAGTGTTGTGACCAGCAGATGGCATAATGGTTATGTTGCTGGACTTGGACTCCCATATGGCCGATAGCAGTTCGAGTACTGGACCTGGAAGCTTGAAACTCATGGCCAGCATGTGTGTACGTGCCCAAGATCCTGAGAGGAGAATGGAAGAGAAGGGACTGTGGTATGGCCATGCCCTCTGGGGGGTGATTTCTTGCTTTCTGTCTGTCTGTGTCTATGGCAAGCACATGTGCCTTATAACAAAAATCACTCAAAAACAAAAACAAAAACAAGAAACAAAAAACTAAACTCGAGTAGGTGAATACTGCAGATCTATGTGTTTATTGTTGATACATTTTATACCTCCACCAGGGTAAAAAGTGTAAAGAAATTGTGATCGAAACAGTTAGAACAAAGTATGTAGGTGTCTTAGATATACTTTGAAATTCGTCAAAAAGTCAAGATAAATGGGTGAACAGACAGGTATGTGACAGGACGAGGGTAGTAAGTGTTAACGGTAGATTGGAGGTGGTGCGTATATGGATACTCCCTGCACAATTCTTTTCTACTTTAGTGTGTATCTGACGTGTTTCATAATAAAATATTAGGATAAAAATGAGATGAAAATGGAATAATCGATGTGCTTTTATTTTTCCTGACTCCACGAATGACTCTCCCTGACCATGACGATGTTATATTGCCCTCCATTTTGTTTTATTGCCCTCAATTATCGCTCATCTCATGCCACCTTTCACCGCCAGGCATTTTTCTTCCTTAATAATTTTTTTTCTCCCGGGACTTACATGAGAGCTTACTTTTTTAGCTCTCAGTCATGTATGCAGCCTCTCCCCTTTTCCTCACCCTTCTCTTAGACTCAGGTGCTAGGTCTTTGCCAGGTAGTGAATGGTATCTCTTCTGGAGGGGTGGAATCCTTCCTGTCCCAGCAGACTTGATCATCATGTTTCCCTAGGGGATCCAGGAGCAACAAGGATGCAAGTCTGTAGGACAAAGGGAATGCCTTGAGGTGGGAGGGTGCATGCCATCCTACCAGCCAGTCGGAACACCAAGCTATGAAAAACCATGCTGAACAGGAACACAGGGTCCCTGGATGGCAGGCTGCAGACTTCTCTGCTGGAGAAGGCAAGAGCTAATTTTCTTTTCCAAATTGCTTTTGTTTGCCATCAGCTGTTACTGCATCATGGCTGATTTCACCTTCCTTGGAAAGCTGGAACACTCAACAGAATTCTTGAGTTCTTCATCAGCCACTGATATCTGGTGCCCAATGCTAAATTAAATCAAATATTTTAAGGTTCATTTACTCAAATATATTAGGCAAGCAGACACATTTATTAAGCC